CAACTGTTTTGTGACTGTTGGTGCATTCTTTTCTGAGCTGTCACGCGTAGGAACCAATTTAAGCCTTGGTTCTCTTTTTAGGTGCTTGAGCGTCTGGCTTCTGGCTACAGACTTCCTCCACCAATGGTATGTTTTACGTTTAAAAGTCTCTAGGTTTTGTAGATTTTTACTATATGCTTTTCTTTGATCAATTACACAAGATATGTCAAATATGTCATGCTCTGTTCTTTTTATATCGAGGCTACACCTAGCTTAAACATTGTCTGCTCTTTGTTCTTTTCGTTGCTTATATTTGTGAGCTTTATCTGCTTTAGACCTTGAAATCTTTATCGAGGTGCTACAATGCCGACGTAAAAGCAGTTGAGTTTTCCTGATCCATAGACTTCCTTGCAACAACATCTATCGCAGAGGGGTCTTTCTGTTGGGTTATGTATTTTGATTCAAAAAATAAATTAACTTGCTTAAAATGCAACCATACCCTAAATTTCTTACCAATTATTTTTCTTTAAGGCTTACCTGTCTTTCAGATTCCCATTGCCCTAGTTTCATATTTTCTGATCATGTGCATAATGTACCATTTGTTATCCAAACCATAGATATTAAATAGATATCCCATTCTGCCAACACTGGTATTGGTATGTTAGCAAATGCAACTCCACCTTTAGATGCGTCTCGTTTGCATATATTACAGTCCTGTGTATTCTAATTCTACGCAGTGTTTGATTCGGTCAAGTTTGCTTGATCACAGTACAATACGCTAGCTTGCTTCACGAAGCCCCTTTTTCTTCTCACAGTTTGTAACCTTTGAAATGTTTTTCTCTCTTCTTGCTTCCCAGACTATCAGACTTTCCTTTTTCTAAACGATAATCTACATGCTTGATTTCACCTCCTTCTCTTCTTACCCCCTTCCTCCTTACATAAACTTACATTGGCCTCAGATCTCTTTTCAACGCCTCCCTCCTTTCTTTTGTCATGGCTTTGCTATTGGCCCCAGACCTTACATAACCAAACAATTTATGTTCACTGTTTCTGTGTTTATCAACGCAACTTTTGCTGTTTTATTATCTAAATTTTAAAAGCAGCTGTTTACGATTGAAAATCTCTTGCAGAGCTGCCCTAAAGTTGTGCACGATCTTATGTTATCTTGCTGGCACAAAGATCGCGTGAAAAGACCGAAATTTAAGGACATTCGTGGCACGATTGATAAGTGGATCCGGAGTCCGGAGTTGCTGAAACACGAGGAATCGGTTGTGACAAGGCGGTATGTTGCAATTAATATCCTTTCAATATACAAGAAAACTATGAAAACAATCTTTTGGTGGTACAAAACTTGTAAATGGCTTTGAAAAAAGCAAACATTTAGTAAACTAAAGCTTTTCGTCTCACACTCTTCAGAGTTTAAAACGTCAGATCATAGATCGAAAACTCTACGCTAAGAAATATATATACCCAGTTGTGGATCGAAGTAGGCCAATCAGAAACACGAGCACATGTTGTAGGACGCACCACCCAAAGATTGGAGGATGAATAAAACAACATGTTCCATCTAATATTAGAAACAAAACCCATCCCCAAAGAGAACAGCCACCTCGGTCTTGCAAATCTAAAATTACAACTAAAACCTGCGATTCTGCTATCGGGCAGCATTTGCTAGAAAACCCAGATTGTGCAAAAAACTATAATGGCGACATGTTTCGGATTATTTGTAAAGCCCGATCGTCGTTCCACCTAGCAGTTTTAGAATCTAT